AATACCTCATCACAGTATACAACAATACCACAACACATTATACAGCCATACCTACACAGTATACAGCAATACCTCAACACATTATGCAGCAAAACCTCATCACAGTATACAGCAATACCTAAACACAGTATACAATAATACCTCAACACATTATACAGCAATACCTCAACACAGTTTACAGCATCGAATCAAATATTGGTTGTGTTACAGGTATAGTTCAACAGGTATTTTACTATTAAACTAGTACTTCATGTAATAATGTCGGAATGAGTGTCCATCCTAATCATCACATTCCGAAATCATGTATTAACCTAACGAACTGATTAACAGAAGTGGGTAACCTACTAAATTCCTATTGCATTCATGAGACTATGGTTGCAATACAGTTTTGATAGATTCATATAAGTCAAGTACAATGGTAATGTAAGTATACTGTAATATTTACTGGCGTTCTAGGTTGGCTTTTTTGCGTTTTTGGGTGTGGTGGTAAAAGGACATTGCGAGATACAACTCGTACATGGTATAAAACTTAATCTAATTAAAAAAAACCTTTCCTTATCAGATCAACAACGACTTATACAGAGTCATGTGCTTAGGAATTTGAACTTATTTACATAATAAAATTGATCTTTTTCATCTGTAGTTTGGTTGTCTGTGAATTAATCCATGTACAATTTCAAATTCCAAGGAAATTGAAAAGCGACTTGAGTTTGGCAGTTATCATGTTTTCGAAAATGTGGTGTAAAGGTCAATCATACTGCTAGGATTGCTTTCAGATGTCCATATGATAACCTAACGGAACATTTCATTCTCGCCAGATTGTATACGACCCTAATGCTATGTTATAGGAAATGCAGTTTTGCGTTAGTGTATGATCCAATCGGTTAACCTCGGGGGTTTACTTCATTTTTAGTAGCATTTAGATACCAAGTCCCGAACGTCCACCGAAGGTTACCGACAATATGTAATTTACATAATGAACCCTACCATCTGTGTTATCTGAAAATTTTCCCTCTGATATTCATCCTTCTTTTTGTAATTCTTCAGTGCAACTGTAAAATGAGTTAGATAAAGACACGCTCGAAATTCATATGTCAGAATTACTATATGCTTGGAACGAACAACAATGAAATTAAAGAATTATAATCTGAATCAAATAAAAGCAAAATGACAAAACAAAAATACCAAAAAAATAATAAATGAATAAAAACAACAACTATACAAAAACAAATCTCAAAATTGTATTCTATGATTAATTGTATTGGATGCTTTTCTTCCTTTTAACGATTGAATTAAGATGTTAAACGACAAAGCGTTTGCCGTTGATAAAGTCATGGTCACACTCTAAATGTGTATAAAGCATACATTATGAATAAACCACAAAACCATTCCATTCAAGTTTTATTTAGCTAGTATCAATCTGGCTGTAAAACTATGCATCCACCAAAAGTCTGTGCATTGTGTCACTATCCAGCTGCCTCCAGTCTTTTTGTTGTGTCGCTAGCAAGGAGTTACAAGTCTGGTTTTCGAAATTTTCAGCCACGAGTTTGGTTGTCGAATTCTTCAGCCACGAGTCTGGTTGTCGAATTCTTCAGCCACGAGTCTGGTGGTCCAATTCTTCAGTCACGAGTCTAGTTGTCCAATTCTTCAGCCACGAGTCATGTTGTCCAATTCGTGCGCAACGAGTCTGGTTGTCCAATTCGTCAGCCACGAGTCTAGTTGTCCAATTTCCCAGCCACGAATCTGGTTGTCCAATTACTCAGCCACGATACTGATTGTCCAATTCTTCAGCCACGAGTCTGGTGGTCCAATTCTTCAGCCACAAGTCTTGTTTTCCAATTACCCAAACATGAGTCTGATTGTCCAATTATTCAGCCACATGCCTGGTTGTCCACATCCTCAGCCGCGAGTCTGGTTGTCCAATTCTTCAGCCACGAGTCTGGTTGTCGAATTCCTCAGCCACGAGTCTGGTTGTCCAATTCTTCAGTCACGAGTCTAGTTGTCCAATTCTTCAGCCACGAGTCTTGTTGTCCAATTCGTGCGCAACGAGGTTTGTTGTCCAATTCTTCAGCCACGAGTCTAGTTGTCCAATTTCCCAGCCACGAATCTGGTTTTCCAATTACTCAGCCACGATACTGATTGTCAAATTCTTCATCCACGAGTCTAATTGTCCAATTCTTCAGCCACGAGTCTGGTGGTCCAATTCTTCAGCCACAAGTCTTGTTTTCCAATTACCCACCCATGAGTCTGATTGTCCAATTACTCAGCCACATGCCTGGTTGTCCAATTCCTCAGCCGCGAGTCTGGTTGGCCAATTCTTCAGCCACGAGTCTGACTGTCCAATTCTTCACCCACGAATCTAGTCGTCCAATTCTTCAGCCACGAGTCTGATTGTCCAATTACTCAGTCACGAGTCTGATTGTCCAATTCTTCAGCCACGAGTCTGGTGGTCCAATTCTTCAGCCACAAGTCTTGTCTTCCAATTACCCACCCATGAGTCTGATTGTCCAATTACTCAGCCACATGCCTGGTTGTCCGGTTCCTCAGCCACGAGTCTACTTGTCCAATTCTACAGCCACAAGTCTGGTTCTACTACTACTCAAGTATCCTTTTCACGATCATCAGCAGTTTGGTTGTGCGAAAAATCCAGCCAGTGATTTAACCTATATATTAAATGTATCTCGCTATACAGTCAGTATTTAGTTGACCAAGTGGTTAAGGCGTTTGACAATCTACTACCACTAGGCACTAGCCCTCCACCACGGTTTGCGGGTTCTAGACCTACATGGGGCAGTCGCCAGTTACTGACCGTAGGTCGGTGGTTTTTCTCTGGAAACTCCGGCTTTCCTTCACCACCAAAACCTGGAACGTTCTTAAATGACCAAAGCTGTTAATAGTACGAATAACACAAACAAACCAAACTAAATATTTCGTTGAAGTTACACAATAAAATTACTATGAGGATGGTTTTCTCCTGGATGATAAACTAATGAGTAATGCGGTCGTCAGGTATCCATACGCACTGTGATAAGGTCCCTTTGTTATATAAATAGCCAATGGATCAAACATACAACTCTGGTAACTTTTTGCTATGGGCCTGTTTATATTTCGACTTTCGAACTAGAGTGACCCTACTGCTTTTTCGGATTGACTACATGTGATTTGAGAGGATAAAGGTAGTATCTTTTCATCTATCAAATACATTTCTACATATACCGATATCCTATAACTAATGAAAGATCGATTAATATCTATAAACAAAATGCTTATTACTCATGGGCGTGCTGTAAGGTCGATTACAGTCATAGATCTTCTTGAAGTTCATCATTCATCGTCGTTTAAATGTTGGAGAAACAGTTGGCTATCTTGATAATATTTCAAACATATTCTGTAAAAGAAATATTAAAGTTCGCTCGTATACATACATAATCCTGGATCCAATATGTTTGACAGGAAGCTTAAAACGCCAATCGGTGATAATAAACAAGAAAATTGTAAATCACTATGTGCGAACAGCTGTTACAGCCGTGAAAACCTTACCAACGGAAGCAAAGACTTGCCTAACCCTGGTTTAATGGGAGATAGTCAACCATCCATCCTGATCTGTTGTTAGTGTTAGGCAGACGAAGTCATTGGCGGTGCTTCCAGTCAGATGTGTGCGATAGCGGTCACTTTTACACGGTGGTACCTCTACCCCACATGTTTCCTCTGTAGACCATGCTAGCTTTCTGATAGGTTTTGGATAATATCACTGAGGTCTAGTATACAGTCTGTTAACATGTATAACGCTCTCCCTAACTCTCACCGTCTCCATTAAAGTAACGACTGCACTGTCGCCATTCTGACCATTGTTTCCTGTTTTTCCATGTCTACCATTTATGCTTTTCTCACATTGTTCCTGTTGTGTTTCTGGTCTATTGCCGATGCAACGAGTTGGGTGATGGACTCATTTTAACAATGATGCTGATTCCGTCGTCTTCACATGTTAGTGTTGTAATGTCCTGTTCGTGTGTCTGTTTTGAAAGCAATAAGTTTGCACGAGAATATGTTTTGCAAACACAAATGTCTTAAATAACCACTATAGGTTTTCTTACTTCAATAACGTCAAATACACCTACTAGGAGTTGTAAGACTGTTTTGGTTACCCACTAGTGGGTAACACCTTGGACGTTATTTCGTTGGCCAGTTTTTTACTTATGACGTCACGTAACAATGCTTTACGACCTCGTCTTCCATTGTGACGTCAAAATTTCCCCTATCGGAACCAGAGAAACGTGCTTTTCTTAATATAATATCTTAACGCTATTGAATAAAAAAGCCCCGAAACACGTAATGGTCGAGTATCTTGTTAATCTTAGTCTCATTAGTCAGTTTTCAAATTATAAAGAACACTCTGTTAACCATTTGTAGTCTTTATACAATTTGAAAATGAACTCGTGCTAGATAAACATGATAACCAACCATCACTCGTTTAGAACCTCTATATGTCACAAATGCATATATTTCTTATGACTGTATCCAGTGATAGAATTTTTTAGATGAACAACTAAATAAAACTTTTCCTTCGTCTGTATTTGTCGGAATAATATTTGGTCGATATTCTAATTCACGATTGAGTATTCTCGCAAATAAATGCTAACAAGTATATCGTGTTCTATAAGAAATTACGAAGTAAGTTATTATATAGGAGTAGGTAGAATTTATATCCCACAAATATATTGCAGTATTCGATAGTATTATGCCGTATGTGCACCGTGAAATATTTTTGTGGTGTATGCAATTTGATCATGTTTGATTGATGACCTTGTGTTTTGACCTTGTGTGTTGACCTTATGTAATGATGTTAAATATTGATGACAATATAAAGTATGTGCCCCCCCCCCCCCCCCCCCCGAAAAAACAATCAATTGTGAATTGATGAATATATATATAAAGGTGATTTCCTCCTGTTGTTCGGAAACTTGTTTGTCGTTGAATGATTTACTTTAATTTGTTTACAGGGATCCCAATATAGAACCAAATCATGCGCCATTAAATGAGTGGCCGATTCACACACACACAGAACGGAAATACCTCCGCCTGGATACTCACCTAGTGAATAATCTGGACAAGTCCCAATCCGTCCGATCTGGGCCTAGGATAAAGCAGTGCGCTTTTTGGCGGGAATATCTACCAAAACTGGTAACGGCGACAGGTACGTATGGGAGTTCCTACATTTTACATTTCTCGCCTTTTTCAACTACTGCCAGACATCTTATTTACTCATTCATCAGTTAGATATAGTTCTCTACAATAAAAATTAGAAAAAGTACATTCACACGTTATTGAACAAATCATTTTCGTGATACTTAAAGGAAAAATTCGTAATTTTGTTTATCACTTTGACATTGTCGTAATATATGGACATATAGCTATAGGGCGTTTATGACTTGAGGAGGGTAAAGTTCTCTCTGGTGTATATATCAGCTGGTACATAAAAGGAGTAATCTGACACATCGATCTAGCCCGTCCTTGACTCTCATAATCAGGATTGTACAGTTAATTGTGTCTGCGTAGTCAAAGGACGTGACTTCACAACGAACTATTGTGGTCACATGTAAATTGAGCTACACGTCCAGGGTATTACACGTGTAGGATATTGCACGTGCATCTTGTGAAACTGCTGATTTAATTGGCCTAGATTTCAAGGAGTACTTTCAATCAACCCTTCCTGTATGATAGTCATATACGCACTAGGAATGGTAAATCTTTATTGGACGGTATCAAATTATCACTACCATATATTGAATAGACTCTTAGATGCTGATTGCTAGATCGACATGCAGTCCTTTGTCTTTAAATGAATCTAATCAGAGGTGCTTGGGGAAAAGCCCGAAGATTCTTTAGCCGTTTCATACCCGTGCAAGTTTACTCAGCGACTAGGTATTAGCCGGGTCACCCTAACAGATCTATACTGATTAATACTAGGCATTTCATATATTTCGTCTTGAAATGTTTGTAAATTTCAAAGTATAATTTAAGTTTTTTGTACTTTGTAACAATTTTAAATTAAAATATGATGTCTGAACTACACGTCTATAAACCAAACGTTCAGCTACCGTCCTAAATACATTGACCTATCAGAAAAGTCCAAATGGCTATAGAAACCATATTTTCACCTTCTCGTCCTATCAAAAACACTTATAACCACTCTCAACTAGGCGTCCTGTTAACACTGAACAACCTGAAAATCCAATTTTCTATAGAAACTATATCTTTACCTCCTCGTCCTATCAAAACATTTATGAACCACACACAACTAGGCGCCCTGTAAGCGTTGAACCATCTGAAAAGTCCAATTTTCTATAGAAACTATATCTTCACCTTCTCGTCCTACCAAAAACACCTACAACCACTCACAACTAGGCCTCCTGTAAGCGTTAAACCATCTGAAAAGTTCAGAAAATGATATAAGAAAGGGGATCGTTATACACACATAGTTGATTGCAACTTTGAAATTTAGACATAGATATTCCGTCTTTGCGTATTGCAGAGTTATCTTCTCTTGGGAGCAGGTATGATGAGTAACGTCATCAACTTTTGAGAAAACGACGCAATTTTCTCACACAAACCAATGACGTAACAATCAATACCTGATCCCAAGAGAAGATAACTCTGCAATACGCAAAGACGGAATAGTATGCATGAAAGAGTTACACTGCATTATACAGTTGTTTCGATTGTCCTTCTAGGTCCCGTCGTTGATGCTTGAGGTCAAAAGGTTGGATAAAGTCCAAATATGTCGAAAATACTGTTTAAATATTAGGGAATATGCACAAAAATTATCTTTTTATGAATTTCTTATGATCGACATCAGATGTATTACATGATAAGGCCATTTTGTGTCAATCAGTCACAGATCGATTTGGACGACAGAGATAAACAACTTCTATAACATCAGTAGTTCATGTTCACTCCAAGCGACATTTCCTTCGCTATCACTTCAATGCTACCATGTTATCTACCATCACAGACTGAATGATGACCCATGCATTGTACGTGTAGTTCCCTGTGTAAATGTCTTTGCAATATCAAAGTCTAATATTTTGCACGTGTGGGAAGTACGCGTAAAAGTATCGACAATTTATCACTTTCGAGTTCACTATTTTTGTCAATGCACGGGGAAACCATTAAATACATACGCGTGTGTTAACGTTGGAAACGCGGTGAAGAGCAGACCATATGATTCACTGTATATTAATAAAAATATTACTTTATACCTCCCCAATGGAACAGCATATCGGTTTGGATTATGTTTATCAGATAACCTTAAGATAAAACGTTCTATTTACCCCTCGCGCTCGAGTTTCCACGTCATACTCCACTCATTCCCAGGCAATTGCGTGTAAACATGATGATCTTTACTGTTGTTTTATTGTTGTTTCCCCTTAATCCTTTCTTTTCCCGAGATAAAATGATTTTTCAAGAGCACGAAACCACGTAGAAATTAACGTAGAGAATAGCAATATGTAATACATTATCATACACGAAGCTGTTTTTATCATTGACCAGAACGTAACAATAACGATATATTGTAATAAGAATTCGCGTGTATATTTCACGAATAAAAAGCAAAATCTCAGAAAATCGTCTCTTGTGACAATAAAACCATCGTAACGTTTTTGTCGTAGGGAAGATACAATCTTTATGAAATTGATTTTTTCTGTATGTCACTGGTATAAATGAGATTAAAACCTTAATGTGTGTGAAAAATAGGGATACTATGATTGGACGAAATCTGTCCCTATCACCTTTCATAGTAATTGTTTCATCATACGAATGAAACAAAATCTTTCTTTTCCATTGAGTATACTTGACTTAATTAGTTTTTGGCAGCTCCTGCTCAGAGGATATATTTTTTCGAGGAGTTGTGTTTATCTTGGTCGCCTAATGTAGCCAATTGAATAGTCTATGAGTGTTCTTTTTGACTAAAATCATCCGACTACGATTGCCCACATGAGACTTGCGACTTGGCTAAGTGTGACATTGTTGAAACGGGCACCTGCTGCCAAATATTTACAGTCAGTTGTACAATTAATGGAAATCAACAACTTATCCATATCTATAGACCATCTGCAAGTATGGTTTTGGCAGCAATTGACATTTGTAACCATCGTTCTGTTTAAAATGCTGTTCATTAGACTGTGCCTACTTGATTCATGAACTATTGGTCACTTCATTACTGTGGCCTCTCAGCTGACCACCATTTCCTGGGTATCCATATGCAGCCCTCAATAGCCACATTAGGTGTCTTTGAATTCAATAAGAAGGACCTTAAGTTGTGTGTTGTGTTAATCAAACCCATGGAGAGCCACCTTGTCGGGATATTGAGGCCCACTTACTCTACTCCTTTACAAATTTTCATGAGTGTGATCGTCTGCCATCGATAAGCTATCAAGGAGATCTGTTGGTGGCGGCGGTGGGACCGAGACAGATACCAATCCTTACAGTCGCACACGGTCAGGCCAGACAGGCAGGAAACAGTGTCGTCCACAAAGCACGGATTCGCCAAAGTGTAACCATTTGTGAGAAAGAGTGTTAAGTAAAGCAATAAATAAAAATAAAACAACTTAGGTACTTAGGACGTGAATCAACTGCGGGACATCATCTTATCAACCGGGGTAAGTGTATTCTCCGTACTTATGGTCTCGATTGTCAAATGCACTTAGACTAGAGACTGGATCAAGAAAGAACGACATGGAAAGCATCGACTCCGATTAGCTCAGTAACATGTACACATATACCATCAAGCGCAGATGAACTACTAAACAGAGACTGATCCCTAGCATACAACAGGGTGCACTCAGAGAGTTCTGTAGTTAGCTTACAAGTATTTTATATTGGCTGATGTTGTTTCATTTTGTTCAACTTCCGTTCAATTTTTTTCAGAAAAAAATCCTACACTGTTGGAGGATTTAATCCATTTCTTAATTTGAACGGTTTTGTAAAAAAAGAAAAACTAATACCAGTGCCTATATTTTCATTATGGCATTTGACAACAGATTTCTGGATTTAAGGCAAGTTTATTAATTGAAATCATTAGCGAATGTCACAAGTTTATCATCCCATTTTGTGTTCCACAACTAGGTTAACTGCGATTTGTGATTCCATTTAGATGATATACCCATATACGTCAGTTGTGGTTCTGACTGGTAACAACTCACACGAGTGTGAACATAACAGTAGGTTGACTATGCTCTGACCGACCTGGCCGTGAATGTCACGTGCAATCACGCCGTCGAAACACAGACATGGCAACTTATTGCAACAAGGTTGTCAGCATGCAGTTGGCATTGTTTTCAGGCCAAACTCCCATTCTGAGCGAAGTTATTCGGAGAGCAGATATATTAAGATTAGATTTTGAAATTATTGCTATTAAAGTCACTTAAAGAAAATTGTAAAAATAGAATGAACAAGGAATAACTTGTATTTGGTTAAATAATCTGATTAATTGTGGGGTACTTTCGGCATGGTATTTCAGTTAGATATACCTATGAAGTCGGCATCAGATCAACGTTATCGCAAGGAGGCAATTGCACCAAAATACCCTGCCTCCAGCACACACAACAGTCAACACACATCCACGCATACACAACACAGATGCAGACACCTTATTAACTGACCTTAGCTGTTGTTAGGACATTAAACTCTCTACAATAAACAAACCAACTAACCCTGGGTGCCTTTATAAATGTATGCAATAGAACCACCGTGTTGTTTAATGGTCATGATTGATTAGTTGTTCTGTTAAAGGTCAGATAGTATTGGCCTAGTTACACAGCAGGAAAATATGTCATCACTGATAAATAGCTTTTTTGTTTTCCATTTATGAAGATTGCAAACAATGTCACATATAAAAAAAAAACATATCTATACATAGATCCCCAACTGAACTCAGGCGACCCCCCGCGGCCATCAGCCACACAACACGCGGGATTAACGCTGACCCGATACAGTATCACACAGTTATTTTACACGAACACTCACATTGCCATAATTACAGATTAGCTTATCTAATAGTGCAGTATATTTCCTTGGAGTTTAAGACACCCGTGACCATATATTACGCGGGTTTGAAATATGTGCTCGGGTTATAAAATGGTAGTCTAAAGCCATTAATATTTCCAGATATATATTCAGATTTGTCATACATAT